AAAATTGCATGAACATATGCAATTCTAGTATCGGTGACATGACTAGAATTAAAGGAGAAAGACAATTCTAATTCAAAGTAGAGGCAAGAGATGCTTTGAGGGTTAATGTGACATATGTTAAAAAAATTATTTAAAATACCCCTTTCAGTAGATCATGTTGATTACACCCACTATCACTAAAAGAATCATTACAAGAATTAAAAGAAAGAAGTGATTCATCTGCAGAATAAAAAGATTCTACATCAGACATAATAATAGCACTATTTACCAAAATTATAAATAAATACAAATAAAATATCTATATATAAAATATTTATAAAAATAATAATAGTGTAGAAAAATAACCTTATATACAAAAATATATGTATATATCAATCTAATGCAAAGAACACCATCCCATTAGTGAACTGTTTACAAAACATTAAAACCTCCAATACATTTTTTTATTAAATTTAAAAGTTAATAACATTTGAATAAAAAAAAAACTATTTGAATAAAAAATTAACAAAGATTAAAGCAGTCGACTACAGACATATTATTTAAAAATAATCAGCAATTGAAGCTTTACATTTAACAAGCAAATTCTAAAATCGATGCATATTTTACTAGGCTGTATGGCATTTGAACCATTGTATAGTTACTGTCATCATAGTCATCAAAATAGAAAACATAACAACAACCGAAGAACAAATTGGACAAAATTACTTATCTTACACCAATTATTGATGCTTGCGCATATTATCCAAGTGAGTCAATTTTGATTCCTCTTACTCATATTTTCAACCTTAGTCTTAGTAAGGGCGAATTTCCTGACAGATGGAAGTACGAGCAAGACGCTTACATGGGAGTTACAGAGACAGTTAATAACAGGTCTTTACCTAAAGTAATCTTTTGGCCCATTTATTAAAATATATTTAGTAGGTTATTTCTTTACATTGAAACGATCAGACCTCTTAGAATCAGCATTTTGCACTGATGCCCACAATACCTGTTTGTGCAGAGCAGTTTCACCTTGACGATGCATTATAGAAGGGCTTTGTGGGGTCTGTTTGGGCACCATACAAACGGCTCTAGTGTCAGTATCTACAGAAGCCAATCCAGAATTACCCGGAGAACTAATTGGAGTAATTTTTCAATAAGAATATCCAACTCTTCCTCCGAGGATATTTTCGATCTTTCATTACTGGGCAGTTTGACATAAATTATCCTATCAAGTGTTCACTTTTTCTTTATACCAAAGTGCTTACGGGCTTTCTTATGTATGGATTGCCTTGTTCTTGTTGTTGTAAGAAACTCAGAAACTGAAACATGAAACTCTTTTAATTTTAAAATTAAAAAAGTCTTAGCATTCCAAAACTCACGCTTTGTGTGATAGTCATTGAATTGTATGAGAATTAGCCATGTGTGACCATCTTTTTTAACCCTGATCGATGGCACATGTGGAATATCTAATCTGTTGTGTAAAAGACACAGGATCTCTTTCTCTGTATCAACTTCTGCTGTGTCAGGAATACCATTGAATAGCAGAATCATTCATCTATGCCCTCATATCAATTGCATCAATAAACTGTAAACAAGCATGTACTTACTGTCAAAACTTAAAAGATTAAACACTGTAAACAAGGAACCTCACAACTCCTTGAATGTATAAAACTCATCACATAATCAAATAAGGGTGGAACTAGTTGGTGTAGACGCAGCTTTTAATCTGCTTTCAAATTCTATCATCTTACGGATCCAGTATTGTTCAAGCTCCTTCTGTATGTTCTCCACTTCAGTAATATTTGCCATTATGTTTACAGTTAAATAGTTATTATAAAGTGAGATATATTAAAATCATGTATCAATGTACACTTTATTAAATAGGCTATCAGATTATGTATAACTTGGATACAGGTTTACTTCGAAAGTGATACTAATTTGAAAATGAAAGTAAGAAAAGTGTTTTTTCCCCAATTTTCTGCAAAGGTGTAATAATTATAAATTAAAGCCTTTATTCCAAGTACTATTTGTTTTACTTGTACGTCCAAAGCATACTTATTTATAAAAAAATAATTCATAAATTTTTTGTTTACGACAAGGTCGAGAAAGGCCTCACTTAGCTCTTTTCGACATCGGGACAAAAAATAAGTAGGTTCACAAAAAAAAAACACATTATTAAATTAAATTTAAACAAAATCACTCCTGCAGATATATGTTATATATATGTATGTTAAATATATCATATATATATGTTACAAATAGTTTGCTATCACTCGACGCCATATTATGGCGTTTGACAGATGCGCATATTATTTGAGACGCCAGAATATGGCATTTAGACAGCCGAGGGGTTAGTTTAGTTTAGTTTACGACGGGCTGTTTTCCGCAACTCCACGTCTAAGCGCGTATTTTGCGTGTGAGCAGGAATAATATAGTTATTCGAGCCATGATATCTCCCCGAAGAAGCTCAGCAGTCCCTTGATGTTGCAAGCAACTTCGGGGAGCGATCCCGGCGTGCCGAAGGTGCCGAACGAACTAACAGTCCATCAGATAAAAGTGGCTACTGCAGCCTATGGACATGGTTGGACACGTCCATGGGCTGTAGTAGCCACTTACCATAAAACTTCTAATAAGAACGCTACCTCCGAAGATTAGGATGGAATGCCTCACAACATATGATCTTATTCCCTAGTCTCTATATCCTTCCAGCCGGAACAAAGGGGTATATTTTAGTCGTAACAAAAAGAAAGTCGCACAGTACATTTGCATGTTAAACCCTAACCTAAATGTAGCTGGCAAAAAAACTGTTTGGTTTCCAGGGGGGGGTGGTGGTGGTTGGGGGGGGGGTGGGGGGGGGGGGGGGCAAGGAGTTGGTGTTTGTTTTGTGTTTTGTTTGTGGTTGGGGGGAAAAAATTTTTAGTGGGGTGTTTGGTGTGGGTTTTTTTTTTTTTTGGGGGGGTGGGGGGGTGCCGTGGGGCCAAATATTTTTTTTTTGGTTATTATTAAAAAAAAAAAAAAAAAAAAAAAAAAAAAAAATACTGGTGTGGGGGGGGGGGGGGGTTTTTAATGTTAAAAGAGGGTGTTGTGATATAGTGTTTTTTTTATTATTATGGGGGGTTTTTGGTGTGGGTTTTGGGGGGGGGGGGGGGGAAAGGGGGGTAAGAGCAGAACATCGTAGTATGGGTAGGCTAAGTAAAAAAGTATTTGAAACTAATCTTAAGCTGCTTAAAATATTGTATTAAATATATTCTGCATATAGGTTAGTTAGTTCACGACGGGCTGTTTTGCGCAACTCCATGTGTAAGCGCGTATTTTGCGTGTGGGCAGGAATAATGTAGTTATTCGATCCATGATATTTCCCCGAAGTTCAACAGTCCTTTGATGTTGCAAGCAACTTCGGGGAGCGATCCCTGCGTGCCAAGATGTTTAGCCCTGTATGAAGCGTCTTCTGGACATGTCAGCAACACGTGAGCCGCCTTTTCTTCCTTTCCCATGCATGCCCTGCACAGGGGGCTATTAGTAACACCTATGGTGAACAAATGTTTGTTAAAAGAGCCACACCCTGTGATAGCACTTGTTACTATCCTGATCTGTGGCTTGTTCAGTCTCATTAGTACCTTGGTTAGAAGACTATTTATTTCAGGTGGAGCCTCCCTAGCTTGTCTACAGTCTGCAAAATTTTTCCAAAACTGAGCGTGTAAATTATTGAAGTATCTATGTACCAGTGAACGAACGTAGCCAAAGGGGATTGGTATTATTGGTTCCAGCCCTATAGTTGCTAGGGCAGATCCCCTTCTGGCCAGTTCATCTGCTGCATCGTTGCCTCTAGATCCACTGTATCCCTTGATCCATTGCAGAGTCACATTGTTGTGCTTACATACCTCATTCAATCGTTGATGGCACTCGTATACCAGTCCCGAGTTCGTCACATTGCAACTCAGAGCTTGTAGTACCGCCATACTGTTGGTCAGTATTCTGATGGAGAAGTCTTTCACCTTCCCAGCATTTTTGCTATGGCCGCTTGGATGATACCCATGCATTCAGCCTGGAAGACTATGTTGATGTACCCAGCGGTGTGCATATGTGGATATTAAGGTCTTCAGAGAAAGCCCCAGACCCCACACCTTCATTTGTTTTAGAGCCATCCATGAAAACTTTGAGCTCTCTTGGACCCAGTCCTTCCAGATGGGCAGTTTCCTTCAATTGTATCCTGTACTTCTTCCGAGGGGTTTAGCCGAGGGGTTGTGGATATTCTAAATTTAAATAAAATATGAGAGCTAATTAAACAGCTGTATTTATTGTTCAACTCTATCCATTTTCTTGAAAACTATGAGTTTCCGAGTGCTACAACTTTGTATACATATGTTTAAACAAGTAGATATTTTAAACAGTAATCATTAAAATCTGCTAACTGGGTAGATAGGTCAAGCTACATACACAATTTTTTTTCTAAATGTTAAAATTATTTAGCTAAGATACGAGAAAAAATAATGTTTCTAACCTAGTTTAAAGTAGTTGCTCTTCAAACAAGGTAAGACATCATTTTTATTTTGTACATGAACCTTCACAAAACAATTTTAACATCTTTAATATTATTAAGGATTTCTGCATAGTAACGCCCGACTACTAGTTCTCAAAATAAATTTTTCAAGAAATGATAGCTGTACAAACATAGTGTGTAAATATATTGACAGCAGATTAAAATGTATATATTATAATCAACAACAACAATTCTCATTTTCCTATCAAATGTTCCTGTCACTGTACATATTTTAGACAGCAAATAAACGAATGTACATATAAAGTTCGTAATTAAACGTCTTAAAAGTTTATAAATCACATATTCAAATCAGTAAAAAGAAACTTCAAAATATGAAAATGTATTTGTATTTATACCTTGTTATTAAAATGTATGGACCGATAATTATAATCGCATTTGGTATACCAGTATTTAGAATATTTTATATTTATAATTATGAACTATGAAAATGTATAGAATGAAAATGAAATAAAATTACCTGTAGTACGACAATATTCCATTCGACAACACGAACCATCTTCGTTGATATCCCTTAAGATAATTAGTCCATTTAAAAAGCCATCCCTTTTTTTCAGGGTGACCGGGAACTGGTTGACCCTTGGGTACAATAGCATCCGACATTTTAATTACTTCACTTGGACGAAAAATTCATAATATAATAATTATCCCACTGAGCCACGTCTGTCACCCACCATTCACCATACCATAGGTAATCAAAAAATCAAAAATCAAAATTATCACCGTTCAATGTGGCCACTCGCAGCTCTTCAATTTCCTCCCTAATCCTTAGATTAAGCGCTTTCTTGGTTGTCCTCAAATTAAGATAATTTAACGTACACTTTACTCTATCACTTTATTAATTATTAAAAATCTTTTGACAATAATATTGTCGCGGTTAAACACAATTTGTAATTTGGAAATTATAAATTAAATCGGTTTCCATTTTTTCCTATACCTAAAAATAAAACAAAAAATAATTCGCAAATCCAGCAATTTTAGAAAGAAACTTTATTTTTAACTGAAAATGTAAATTTCACAAGCGCAAACCAATCCAATTTTTCATAGAGCAACACAAAAGGGGAGTAGCCATAGCGTTATTCTCCGATACCAAACCAAACTGGCTGTCATTTTTTGCGGGTAAAAATCTGCGCCACGCACTACACTTTCTCAGACTAACACACAAAAATTATCGTCTGTCACTACCAAACTCACAAAACAATAAAAATAACATAGATAATACCTACAACACGTACGAATTAACTTGAGACTCCGCTGGAATGCGACCCCCTTCCCGACTCCCCGCACCGCGTCCCGCGCTGGCCGTGCGCGCTCAGTACCGATAGCATTTTTGTTACGGATACGCGTCTCGACTCTAGTTCGATATTTTTGATAATTGTTTGTTGTTTGGTTTGGACTTTTGTTTGTTTTTGTTATACTTGAACGTTATTACTTCTATTCCTTACTTCTATTCCTTGATTTTACATAGTTTGTGCTGTTCCGCTTACCCAAGATTGATTCACTTTCACCCTAAGGTTGCCTGGGAGAGATTGCTTTTTAGCAATAAGGTCGCCTGTTATGCTTTGTATTCTTATTGTGTACGAATCTGTAACACTTTTTATAGTGCAATAAAGTGTAAAATAAATAAATTAATAATATTATAAATGAGAAAGTGTGTATGTTTATTTCTTTGTCCTTCCTTGACGCGTTAACTCAAAATATATATATATATATATATATATTATAAAAATAAATATTTAAAATATATAAAAATGGCAACAGTATATCACTTATTACTTCACCCCTTGCCAGAACATTTTATTTTGTTTTTATTGATAATCTCATGCAAATCTCAAAAATTTCAAATAAAAAAATATTACGACGCATTATTTTGCACACCGTACATTGACAATTACGTCATCGGCCCAGGTCTCAAGTTAATTGTTACATATACCAGAGATAGATGTGCCACTCACATTTCAGTTTTTGTGTAGAAGTAATAGTGTACCCTGCACGCTAGATGACGCTGTTACTCTCACTGCGAATACGAGCCAATACTTAGGCCAAGGAAAATTAAACTGAAAAAATGCCTTAACATAAAAACAATAGCATAAACAGGCTTCACAAGTTTGCAAGAAATACTTTGCCCTAACACTTAACTATTACTCACCAAAAGCCTATCGCTATGTACGTAAAACCTTTGGAACATGTTTGCCTGCACCACGGACATTGACTAAGTGATACACTACCATAGATCGCCGACCAGGGTTTACTCAAGAAGCGCTGACGGCATTAAAATTGAGAGCGGAGAGTAACCCTGATAAAAAAAATTATTGTACCTTGGTCATGGATGAAATGAAAATTAGGCAATTGACGGAATACCATGCTAGCAGCCAAAGGCATTATGTATATAACCAAAATGTCTTTTAGAACTGGCATAGTACTCCGTCAATTGTTTTATTTTTATTTCATCTATCACTAATATACAATACAATTTCTTGCCAGAGTTACTCTCTAGTCTAAGTTTTAAAACAGTTAACGCTATTTTTGTGTAGCCAAGTTGTCGGCCATCAATTGTACATTAGTTTAACAAAACCATCTTTCTGGGGAATACTTAGCCCTAGGTAGATGTCACATTTTATTTTTAAGCAGCTGTCTGTTTAAAGTTCACTTTGTTCAACTGTTATACAGTGTAAAACTTTTTTATTTTCCTAGTTTATTAAATATTTTCCAGATAGTTCATTTAATAACTCTTCAAAATCAACAACTTTTTACAAATAGCGGTTTTGTGATTGAAGCCTTATAATAAAAACAAAAACTTGGTTAAAACCATCTAATATGATAAACCGATAGGATTTTTCTTTTCTTAAATCTGATTTTTAAAATAAGTTAACTAAACCTCCTATTTTGGTTTGTTAAATATTTCAAATTTTATCCTGCATAATGTAAAATAAACCTGTAGCAAAATAATAAAGTTTCTTTCAATAATTTATAAGTTTTTTCCGAAGATCATTTTTAAATACTTTAAAAAAAAGAATTTCAAATAACAACTTGGTATTATTTATCTATGTATTACTTATAATCAAATAAAAACTTGTGCGGACTACGGTGATTTGTTTATCGATAAAAAATATCGACATAGTCCACGCCCTACGTTGCTTAAACAGTATGCGTAAACGCGATTAACACAAACACAAATGTTGTAGTGTGCGTTTATAGTGACACGATTTAATTTTGCATTTATAGTTAAGTATACAGTTGTGTGTTTATCTTGCGCCCCCCTGATGTTGACAGAATTTCTGTTTAGTAATTAACGCGCATGGCCTCTACAGTTGGTTGAATACTCAAAGGTCGCTATGTATATTACCGTGGTGTTTAGAGGATTAAAAATCGTTGTTATGCGAATGATCGGCAAAATATTCAAATAATCGGTAAAAATGTTCAAATAATAGATTCATTAATTTTTTAATGGATGTGTTTAATTTAATTTTTATTTTCCAAATTCCTTAAATTACATGAATCATGAATAAAACAAGTTTATTTTTTTTACTTTGTCAAAGCAAATTTGTGTAGGCAAAAAAATCATATACAAGGCCGTGCTAAAATAACTACTACATAATTTCAATATCCCGCCATTTCGGTACCAGTTACTCGACTCCACAGAATTAGTGATTCATTCTTGGGGCGATGTAAACTCTTTTACAACAAAATCCCAGAAAATATACAAAATTTGACGTAAGAACCAATAGTTTAAAAACTTTATTAAACTAAGTTTGTATAAAAAGGGTTATTTTAATACTAAGGAATTTATGGATGATAATAACTCCTGGGAAGGGTGATCGCTACCAAGTTATTTCTAATTTGTTTAGTGTTGTTAATTGTAGCACGCATGATGGTAAGCTCTTTTTTTTACTAGTCCCGTTGGGTTTCTTGCTGGTTCTTCCCAGGACAAAGGTTTTTTTTGCGAACCAGTGGTAAATGAAAAAAGTGACTTTCAATAAGTATTATTCATAATTTATATTGAACAAAAAAGTTTCTGTTTTTGTTTCCAGAGCTTACTGTGCGTAATTTTGTAATTTTTTTGTTTGAAACAGCAATAGAAACAGAAACTTTTTTATTCAATGTAGAATAAAACAATATTTATTGTTGTTAAAGTCACTTTTTTCATTTACCACTGGTTCGCAAAAAAAACCTCTGTCCTGGGAAGAACAAATTTATATATATATATGTGTCTTCTTATTTTGTGACTCGGTTTTAACTTTTTGTTTAAAATAGTAGCGTAATGCTGCTGTGTTTCTTATGGTGAGTGTAGAGAACTGGAGACCCTTTTTACTGGAATCGAGGCATTCCATCTCAAGCCTCTGGGGTGACAACGCATTTGCATTTTGATTCTGAATTGAGAATAAATATGTATGTCTATGGGCCATTGAATCCACTTAACATCAGGTGGACTGTGTACTCGTTTGTCACACAATGCTATAAAAAAAATTCGTTGAAGCATGTGCCCATGTCAAAAAGGATGATTGGGCAAAATTCGGTAGAAAAAACAAAAAAATACCTATATACATATATATACAAGCTATATATATATATATATATATATATATATATATATATATATATATATATATATATATATATATATATATATATATATACTTAGGCCAAGGAAAATTAACAAAAACTGAAAACAATAACAAAAAACTGAAAAAATGCCTTAACATAAAAACAATAGCATAAACAGGCTTCACAAGTTTGCAAGAAATACTTTGCCCTAACACTTAACTATTACTCACCAAAAGCCTATCGCTATGTACGTAAAACATTTGGAACATGTTTGCCTGCACCACGGACATTGACTAAGTGATACACTACCATAGATCGCCGACCAGGGCTTACTCAAGAAGCGCTGACAGCATTAAAATTGAGAGCGGAGAGTAACCCTGATAAAAAAATTTATTGTACCTTGGTCATGGATGAAATGAGAATTAGGTAATTGACGGAATACCATGCTAGCAGCCAAAGGCATAATGTATATAACAAAAAAGTCTTTTAGAACTGGCATAGTACTCCGTCAATTGTTTTATTTTCATTTCATCTATCACTAATATACAATACAATTTCTTGTCAGGGTTACTGTATTATATATATATAGCTTGTATATAAGTATATGAATTAAATTTGATAGATTAATGCTTTTGTAAACTTAATAAAATATTTTCAAGAAAAACAATATTGGGGTCACAAAGGTAATAATAAAAATATTTAATCTAAATCTAATTACAGCCAAACATTACCTCACACAAGTTCATGGTTGGTACTGCAGTGTCAGCTAAGCTTCTTTTATTGTAAGCTTGGAGTATGAAATATGATTCAATTTGAAACAAAATTTTCTTAGCAAATGGTGCTAATCCGTTTGGGTATCCAAGATTCATGGTTTCTATAAGCTACAATCTAAGTTTGTCGCCTAAAACGATCCTTTAAAAATCTGTCAAACAAACCAATAATAGAAAAATGTAGTACTTTTTGTAATACTTTACTGTAAAAGCTAAATATAAACTACAAACCGGTTCGGCAGACAAACCCGCGTGGTTAACTAACTTATCGATAGCTAAAGTTGTGGC